TCAAACCAAAAACTCTTCTGTGGGGAGGGTATGTATGGATATTTTTTTTTGAACAACATGATTTTAAGTATGTATGTCAATCTTGTTCTTCTTGATTATTGTAAACCTTGAGTTGTTCTAAACTGGTTTGACAGGTTGTGACCTCATGTTATAAGTTATTGTTCTTTGTGAAGTGCTTGGATAAAACACAAAAAGAAGCAGTTGTACTGATCCTAAGATTACACCAATTCCATTGGGAACCTGGAAAGGAACATAAACACAGTCTGAGGATCTTTCTTAGATCAATACATGTCCCATTATAAGTCAGAGATGATTTAATTAAAATTACAGACAGACAACTTAGTAGTAAATCATTGTGGATGTGGCAGTCAAATGGTACATGTAAGTGCACTGGACTTGACACCAAGGAACCACAAAGAATTTGAGGGCAGCCAGTGTCATGTGTTCTTTGGAACTACACTGAACCTGACAATTCTTAGCATTACCTGAATTTTTGTTTTAAAAATGAGCAATGTACTTTTTGCAATATTCCAATCTGTTATTTCAAGTTTCCAAATTCTCAGAAGATCAAAACAACGTATTCTTCAGGGCTATGTTTTGAAAACTGCCAACATTATTGCTGGAGATTCACAACAGAATGTCCAGAATACCTACTGAAGCTCTAGGTGGTGCTAGATCCTATTGAAAGCACTGTTGAAGTAGCCTTTGTAAAGATGTGACAGCTGTAACTTTTAGTACCAATACTTTTGCCTATTACTGATTTGATGAGAATATGATTTCAACTGGTACAGTGGAACCCCACCTTACTGCCACACTGTTAATACAGCCACCTCATTATTACAACCACTTTATTCTGGCCCAAACAAAAGCTCTGTCAGTCATTTTCTTATTTTAAGAACGGTGAACCCCTTAAGTGCGGCCACTCCATTAATACCGCCAGATTTTTGTGGCCTATTGGTGACTGGATTAACAGGGTTTCACTGCACATGGTTGATACTCTTGGCTTTAACTACCAATTCCCTGAGCATGCCACCTCTTGGACATGATCAAGGAGTTTCAAAATGCTCCACTCACCAAAATGAAATTATCTTGGACTAGTTGTCCATATATTGTCCAAAGAAGAGACACAACAAAGGTCGCCACACACAAGGAAAATGTCATAAATTCTGTGCTCTTGTATCTTATCACGTTAGTCTGCAAAAAATATTTAAAAAAATAAAATGAAGTACAATACTGGTTTTGAGTTTATGCCTGTACAAACCAGGAAAAGAGAACAATACTCACAGTTGGTGACATATTTAATTCATATTTTACATGGCTTTGTTTAACAACAAAACATTTCAAATCTTCATTATTTAGTAACCATATGATTATCAGTTGTTGAGTAAGGCACAACAAAATGTTTGGTGACCAGGTTTTAATGTTCAACTTGTGTTGCTGCCACAGGCAACTGGCTCACTTCCAGTGGCAACTTTGTTGGCCTTTGACATCAATGACAGTAAAGCGTGCGAAATTGCAGGTGATGATATTGTTACCATTTGAAACGAGGAAAGTTGCCTGTGGCAACACCATAATTCGAAGTCCAAAACTTTGTTACCAAAGTTCTGTCACGCATTACTTAACTGATAATTGTAGTATTCACATGTAGTTTGATCGCCCTTTGAGTCCTTGTGGCCCTAGAGAGGCACAACTACAGAGTGGCTATTGTTTTCTAGGGGATCGAATTCAATTTTGCAAGTCTTGGATTATGGAGGAGGGAAAACTGGAGAGGACACCAACAACCAACTCACCCCACATGTAACCCCAGGTCAGGGCATTGGACAGAGGGAAGGAAAGCATTCTCGCTATGCCAACGGTTCTCACAACGTAACTCTATGTGTTAACAACATTGCACTGTAGCCATAAGCAAATATCACTAATCAGAGAAAAAATTAAAATGAACATGTAATATAGTGTCTTACCACAGTTACAAGGGGTGATCCATACACTGCTATAGTAAATCCACTAGCAACAAATCCAAGATGGAAGACAGCTGTATCATAATCACCAGCATAATACTTAATATAAGTTAACAATGAACACACTCCCACAAATGATAGTGTCAACCTCTGGGTGAGATGCCTCTGTGAAATTAAAGCACAATTTGAAACAATTGTCATTGTAACAGCTGATTCAAGGACCAGAATGGGACGGGCTAGTCAGATCCAAAGTGACAGGGACGTACAAGGGAATTTTTGGGTTCGTATTTCATGACTTGGGGATATTTATGAGATTAAAATATTTTTCCTATGGAATAAGATGTCATGTCATTAAATTCTATTTTTGATTATATTGTCACTACTGTAGATGCATTGTTTTTTTTGTAGCTGATTTGAACTTGAATTTGAACGGGTTTAAAATGTAGGAATACTGATATACCAGGACAGATTAAGGTGAGAACCAATGGAAAGTACTTACCTTGTCTCTTGTATTAACGTAATAAAATAGAAGATATGAAGACTGTAATACAATTCCTAGTATTCCAACTGTGTATAGAGGAGTATCATCTGTTAGGAGGCCATACTTTGTCCAAAGAATGGAACTAAAACGAAATTAAAACATGACAGAAATTTATATTCAAGCACTTCATGCATTAAATTGTGAACTAAACACCCTGTTCAAAATGTCACCCTGAAAACCAAACCCCACCCAAGGCACAAGTGAATCCTCAACCTTACAGTCCAAGATATTCATATTAAAAAAAAAAAGAATTTAAAGTGAGAGTGAGAAGCTGTTTGCTCAACCCTCGCCCTTTTTTTTTATCTTTTGCATTTATAGTTTTCAAAGACCACTTTCCTCTGTACCCAAAGAGGCCATTGTGGAGAGGTTTTACCGTACAGTCGAATCTCCACTAACCGCCACCTGTCTGATCCACAACGGCCTCTCTAATTTCTGATACTTTTTATTTTGATTGTGTTTGTTATTTATATGCCACCCTAGGCATTAAAAAAAAATGTTATATCCCCGAAAAAAACCAAGTGTCTTATTTACACCCCTACCTCCCCATAACGACCACCTCTTTACAATGGCTACTCTCCTCTGTCCCCAAGGTGGCCGTTGTGGAGAGCTAGAGGGCTAGTGATTTAAGCCTAAACAAAGTTAAAACCAGGAGAACAAGAAAATACATTTACCTTAGACAAGTAGTCAAAAATGGGAAGAAAGTTATATTCTTTGTATTGCCTTGTTGTTTAATTTTTGAACAGACTTGTCTGAAAAGAAAGGAAACGCGGCAAACAGATTAAAAAGGTGTAGAGCCATGAGGCTCTCGTGTGGGGTTCGGGATTAAAGATTCACTATAGCTGTAAACCAAATTGCAACAATTTCAAAATTTATGAGTGCTACATTGATCGTCGATCGTTTCTACAGAGCAAACTACGTAACACGAGAAGGAGAAGACTCAGAGAGAGCTTTGTATACGATGAAAGACCAATGACCAAAGGACAAATAATCTTTGTCAATAATAATAATTTAAGCTTAATTAGTTGCTAGGAAAAATATTCCCGTAAAGAGCTAGTTCTTTCAAAAGCAAATATATCATCTAAGTAGCTAAATTTTTAGAATAATTCCATACCAACCAAACCCGCGTTCACGTCCTGAATTAACAAAACATGAAATAAGCTTGGTTCGCATGTATGAATTTTTAAATGAACTGAAGAGATCACAGCGTTTCGTTGTTCTATCTTTACTTACATTCCAGTCGAAAGAAGCCCAAATTGAGATAATGTTGCACTCCATGACACAAACTGTTTAATATCCATGGAAATCAGTTCTCAGTTCTGTTTAATATCCATGTACATGATGTTTTCTGTTCGAAACAAGTGTTTCTTGTCCTTTCACTATGCCATTTCTTCTTCGTGAGATTGCGTTACCAGTATTTTGGGAGATTGGGAACGACAACACTCGGACTCGTGCATGGAACGCCTGGTAAAATCTCACATTGCGGGGCTAACTAACTATACTATGGCCCAAATGGCAATTCACGAGACAAAGAAGGTGCTCCGACGTGAAATAAAGAAAAGGGTTGCAGCGATGACCGATGATGCTAAACTGAAAGAATCTACATCAATTGTTAGCAAAGTAAGTTGTGAATCCTCGATTTTTCGAACCTCCCGATATCTCCGCGAGCTAAAACAGGCTGAAAAACGTTACCCTAATCCCTCAGTCGAACACTGTAATTTTACACCCGATTTCTCCAGTTGCCCAATCTTTCAAACCATTTTTCAAACCATTTTTCATTTCCCTTGGAAGCTCGAAAAATCAGGATCCCGCTGTAAGTTGTAGGAAGAGTAATAGACTGTAATACTATTCTAATTTTTTAACTTCTTTTAAGCTACTTGGAATGGAGGAGTACAAGTCCAGCAAGAGAATTTCTGTTTATCTCAGCATGCCCTCGGAGGTTCAAACTGAAGGAATTTTGAAGGTAACATAGTGAGTGATTACCATTAACAATCATTTCATTTTATGGTTGCCATAAAAGCTCCTCCAAGCTTTCCATCCCCACTCCCCCAGCCCCAGAGAGAGGCTTACATCTTAAAGAATCAGACCAAGGAGGGAGGCATAAGGAGCTCAGAGCTCCATTTTTGTAGAAAAACTTGCAAAACACTGTTATACTGTAAAGGGTCAGTAAAATGCAATAGAGAGATGGCAAAGTGCATNCTGCAATACTGTAAAGGGTCAGGAAATGCAATAGAGAGATTGCAAAGTGCATGAAAACACATCCCACAGGTTTTAAGAGTACTGTAATACCATGCACAATTGAAGATTGAAATTACCAAAACATTGCATGAAAAATTCCCCAATACCGCAATACTGCAAACCCCATTGTTCTGACCTTTGTCAAGGAGGGATACTGGAAGAGGAGAGCTCGTAAATATAACAGAGTGCCCCCTAAGCAATGCCAAAAAGATTGAATATTTGTTGAATTCTAACTTACTGGCATTGACTGTGTCTTTTTTTTTTTGTCAAATTAATAAACTGCTTTCACTGATGTAACAGGATATATTCCAGACAAAAAAGTAAGTAACCAATTATAGTAATTGATTGGGGTAAATGCACTTCAATTATTGCAATAATGACAGTGGAAGTGTGTGAATTATCATTGAATATCCTGACTTTTCAACCTCAAGTTGTTAATAAATTAAGACTTTTCTTGATAATTTTTTGACCTCAGGTTAAAACTTGTTTAATTGCTTTCATTCTGTGTTCTTAATTGTAGAAGTACTTGAATTCCTGTATGTTACAATTACTTACCAGTAGATCATTTAATCACCAACAGAGAATTTTTAAAACAGCCAAAACTTCTTGCTAATATCTTAACAGTTTGTAATTTTACTTTAATAGTTAAACCTATTATATTCTAATTTATTTTCAGAGAATGTTTTATCCCTCGCTACATAGGCCCAAATATGGACATGGTTAAACTGCACTCCATGGAGGACATGCTGTCATTGCCAGTTACTTCCTGGAATATACAACAACCTTCAGGTGATCGATGCTGCTCTATTTATGTAAGAGCACTTTGACACCACAATCATTTGAGGGCTCTGTGGCAACAGATAAATGCAGTGTTTTAATGTGGTTTGGACTTTAAATCATCATATAAATACCATAAAATTCTCAAGAATGGATATTGAGAATGTAGGAATTGATAATGAAATAGTGACTTTTTCGACAAATTGGTACTCAACCTTTAAAAACAAACAGCATATTCTAGGCCAAATGAATCCTCAGATTATCCTGCAGCTTTAGGGACTTCTCAAATCCAGCCCTCTCTCAGTCCATAATTGCATGACCATGGTTAATAGAGGGAAATGGTTATTAAACCTGACAAAGTTCTTTGTGGTATGTTTTTGTTGGCTATCTTGGGGGTTCAGCCCTGCACAAAACCTGGCAAAATTTTAAAGGTGGAAGAGTGCGCTTATGCAAATAACCAATAGAAGCATCAGTTGCAATTATGTCATTTATGCATATTAAATGAGCATAAAATAAAAGATGTGCAGGGTCAAGGACCTTCAAACATAAATGTTAGCCTGTTTGTGCGCACTTCTTTGAAGTTTGCTGGACTTTTTAACCATTCCCTGTGTTTGACCTATGCTCAGCCTAAGAGAACTGAGTGGAAAAGTGTGAAGAGAGCACAATCAAATTCTTCAGATTCAAATTCACAATCAAATTCATCAGATTTTGGAATTAATTCATACTAAAAACCATAACAATTTGTTCAGAGGAAGATGAAAGAGAAGAAGCAATCTCATCAGGGGGTCTGGATCTTATTGTTGTTCCAGGACTTGGCTTCACAAAGGTTAGTCTAATTGTTCATTATTGCGAAGGACTATTTCTAAATTCTGTACGACTTGCTCAAATATGATTTTTTTTTTAATACATCAAAGGAGATCAGTAGAAGTGAAAACTCATATCAGTACACACTTTTTTCGGTGATGAACATTTGATCAGTTCCAGGCTCAAAATGATAACTTCCCCCTTCAGTTTGGTACACATTTACTTTGTTAATTGCACAGAAACCAGGGGCCCGTTTCTCGCAAGCCCCGGAAACTTTTCGGGCCGGCAAAGCCATTTTTAGATAATCTGTACCTAAAAACCGAGAGGTGTATACGCCTGAAACTCCTTGTATAAAGAGAGCCTCTGTTCGTATTAAGAATATTATGTGAATAAAACAGCTGTGTAATCATAAGGTTTGAGATTTTGCTGTGGCTTTCCAGGTGTGAAAACTTTTCGGGACCTTCGAGAAACAGGATCCAGAAAATGGGACTGTAGAAGTTGCTCAACCTAATGCCCCCTAAAAATGCCAAGATAAAGAGGGAGAACTGTAGCCCCCACCCCCTATCTCCCTTCCCTCCCCTCCCCCCAGGAAAATCTTCCTATGGTCACTGGTCAGTGGTGTTCTTTTCTTTTCTTTCTTTCAATCTTCTGTCTGCATAATGTGAGGAGAATTTTATTGCTCTTTTGATTTTGTTTTTCATAGAATGGTCTTCGTCTTGGTCGAGGAAAGGTAAGCATCTAAAGAGCCTACCAAAATAAGTAATTCAACTGATGGCAATTAAAAAATTAAGTTCAGGGAGGTTCGTCCCTAGCGCACTAATTTCATATCAGGTCATATAAACGTAATGGTACTATAGTCACACTTTAAGGCCCTCCCGGCCTATCACACGCAGTTGGTTGAAAAACAGGAATTTGCAAAATAAATAGGGCTGATCGTAGAATAACCAACGGCCACAGTAACTGATTTACAATACGAGTGTACCACAAGCCGTGCAAAATGCCGCCAAGTCTTTAAGTCAGTGTTGCCACGAAGAAAAAAGGTCAGAAAAAATTGTTTCACACATGCGTTGAAATGCTGCTTACTTATTCTTCAGGGTTACTACGACTCTTATATTATGAAGTGCATCGAAAAATGTGAAAAGAAACCTCTTTTGGTTGGTAAGTATACGAAATTTACATTGGAATCCCGATTTTTCGAATCTCTAAGGGAAACCAAATTCAAATAGTTCGAAAAATTGGGGTTAAAATTACGGTGAAACGACTTTTGGTTCGCGCTGAGCTAACGCGAGGTTCGAACTGGGACGGTATTGGGTTTTTCAGTTCTTATTGGTTGTAAAGCAAAAATGGAACAACTTTTTGCTGGGCAAAGTATCTCATACCACTGGACTTAGCTAATCTTAATCCTGTAACATTGTATCCTCTTCTTGTTCGTACTTTCATATTTTTTTTTTCTTTTTCAGGTTTGGCTTTCAGCACTCAAATCTGCGATGAACTCCCAGTGACAGAACGGGACATGACGTTAGATCACGTGATCTCCGGTGAACCGGATTAAAAATACCTGTTAAGCAAGTTCAGTCGATTAACTTACAGCAATGAGTTCTGAGCTGTCTGAGCTCCGAAATCAGATTAGAGTTGCAGAAAAACAAATACTACTATTCTCGAATCACAATTACAAAATAAATAAACAAATAAATATGAATATCGTTTTAAGACGCCTATTTGACCAAAATATGACAAATTTTATACTGGTAACTTGATAACGAAGATATCGACCAGTTTTCTCGTGCTGTCAGATCACAAAGTGACACCGGTTACTTCGATAGCTAACCACCTGTTACAATAAAAAGTCGTTTTAAAAAGTTGTTAGTAGTGTTTACGTCCTGTGTTAAACAAGTGGAAAGCAAATATTGCTCGGTTTGCAGAAGGAGCAAGCCAAATATTTCAAGTTCAGGGTTTCTCTTGCGGACACAACTGGTGTAAGTTGTCTCTCATTTCGTCAAATGTATGCTAGTAATTCGCCGAAATACTGAGTGGATGACATTGCCTCAGTGCGTTCCTAATCCGGTTTAAAGGATATTTAAGTAGGGCGCTTGGCATATGCCTTTCTATTCGACTGATTGCGTTTTACGACGAGGCGATGTTGACGCGTGTTGCTCTGGTTATTTCAGCCCTGTTTCTAGGTAAGATTCTAGGTAAGAGATTTTGTTACTTCACGTCACTTTCTCTTTTGTTGATATTCGTGTCTTCTTTCTGGTTTGTTATGTCTCCGCACATTTATTTTCCTCATTTCGCAAAATCTGGAGCAATAAGTTCTGTCCAGCCCCACCCTGACAGGCTTTTACCATACCCTTCCGCACCGTCTTGTTTTTTTACATATACTATAATGCTTCTTTGAGGATCTCAATGACGGCTGACGGTTAATCTTTTGACTTTTTCAACGGTTTATTTATTTTCCTTACGATTAACAAAATTCTTTGAAATTAATTGCCACTGTTTTAAAAGGTTAAAAATTAATTTTCATTGTTTCAAAAAGTTAAAAATTTGTTTGGATTACTGAAAGACACATTTAGGTCTTAGGGCCATTTAGGGATGAAAAAAGTTATTATCATAAGAATAGTTGCCAAATATAAAGTCTCTAGGCTTTTCCTTGTACTACCAAGGTCACCAAACCACAAAAACGTCTTGAAAAGAGATCTTGAGCCTTTCACTTTCGTGGCTACTTTTTTTCTTACTGTTAACATTTTCTGCGGCTAACGGTCAAAATTTTCCAATTTTTGCGTCTAACGGCTAAATTTTTGGCCCGTTTTACGACTAACGGTTAACTCCATCGAGACCCTCTTGTTTAGGTAGCGTTGGGTAACTAACTCGATTCGAAGCGCTCTCCTTCCAATGACCGATTTTTATAAGCGCCCCTATTCCAATAGCTCCCCTATTCCAATAAGCGCCCCTTACAACAAGCACCCCTGCATTGCGAAAGTGGCATGCATGCGAGACATTGATGTGTAATAGACTGATTTACAGACGGGAACTGATATGGTCTACTTTCTCATCTGAACCCAATATCAACAAATCGCACAGACCCGAATAGTGTTTGGGCCATGCGAAATCTTATTGTTACAGTTCTTGAGTCAAAAAAAAAAA